TAAAAACTGAAGAAAAAAAAAGAATTTACAAAATATATATTTTTAAGTCTTTTCCGTTTTTTTAAAGTATTTTTTTTGTAAAAACTAAAAAAAAAAATTAAAAATACTTTAAAAATTGAAAAATATATATTCTGAAAAAACTGGAAAAAAAAATTTACAAAATATATATTTTTAAGTCTTTTCATTTTTTTAAAGTATTTTTTTTGTAAAAACTGGAAAAAAAAATATTTATTTTTACAAAAACTAAAAAAAAGACTCTCCTAAAGCAGTGGACTACATATGCATTCGTTTTAAAAAAATAAAAATATTTTGCAAAATCTTTTTTTTTTTAATTTTTACAAAAAAAATACTTTAAAAACTGAAAAAACTGAAAAATATATATTTTGCAATTTTTTTTTTTTTCAGTTTTTACAGAATATATATTTTTTAGTTTTTAAAGCATTTTAAAAAAAAATTCAGTTTTTACAAAAAAAAATACTTTAAAAAAACTGAAAAGACTTTAAAATATATATTTTGCAAATTCTTTTTTTTTCAGTTTTTACAAACAAAAAAAATTCGGTTTTTAAAAAATATATGCTTTAAAAAAACTGAATTTTAAAACGGGTCGGATAAAAAAAAGAAATTGATCGTTTTCGTCTGGTGCTGACATGTGGCACTTCATCCAAAATGAGGGTATATTTGTTCCAAAGTATGACGGAAAGGGTATATATAGTCCAATAGTATAACGAAGGGTATTCTTAGACCATTTTCAAAAGTACAGGGGTATATTTGACCCTTTGCTGTTATTCCAATAAAGTCAATATAATCTTGATTTTTTGTTGATTCTTACACAACAATCGGAGAGGTTTGAAGAATGCTACATGGCCCGCTTGCAGTAACTTTGAAATCCTTCTTTTCCATGGTAACTTCGAACTCTTCATGTTAGGGAAAAAAGAAACTTGGAACTTCATTAGGCCTTCACCATTTTACTTGAAAAATAAATGCATAAAAATATTTATATCTCATTTTAATTTATGTTCAATCAACTACACCTCAATTACAAGTTGATTGGAATTAGCAATCTGAATCATGTATGTCCATTCCGTTCTATTCAAATAAATTTCATTGTAATATTCCGTATGTTTCAAAAAGATTGACATTATTTTCTTATTAGTCTGTTCCAAAAAAATTGATACATTTCAATATTTTCTTAATAAAAAGTGCACAAATATTATTGCAGGTTTCAGATCACAAGTTTTAAAAATTTTATAGCTACATAAATGTTATGACTTATTTAAGAATGCATATTCTAAAAGTCTTTCTTTTTTTATTAAAGTTTGTGCCAATCCTTTTGAAACAATAATTTACCTACGACCAAAAACAAACACGCGCATAAATACTCCAGATACAAATCTGTCTGTCTCCCTCTCCCTCTCTCTGGCAGGAAGGATATCTTCGTGGGTGGGTTGGGCCTTTGTATCGCTGCAAAAGTACCAGCCCACTTCAAAAGGACATGGCATACACGTACAATATGTATATTATATATATATATAATAGTATATATATATTTTATACTATATTAAAAATACGAAAACCGCGAAATATCGTTTATTTTTTTTACCATTTTAAAATAGAGTTCACACTAGACAAAATAGTCATTTGATTATTCTCCTAGCTAATATTTAGGAGTTTGAATTAAATCGGATTTATTATTTTTAAATCTTTCCTTGTTTGAATTAAGTAAGAGGTCCTTATATTTAGGACTTTAAAATCACTAAAACTTTACCTTAAATAAATTTTACAATTAAAGTATGATTGTAATTTCAAGTTTTCTTTCTACTAGCAGTATTTAATTTTGTTTGGCCAAAATCACTTCAACTTTCACTTTCACTTTAATTGTAGTATTCTTTTACCAGAATAGTCGTTGAATCCTTTTCTTAATTACTATGTTTTTCCAACGATATTCAATTGAATTTTCTACAATTGAACGTTTTAGCTCAAAAAATTGTATAATTGTGCTAAATTTTAAGTGAACAATTTTATATAAACAAAATAAAATAAAATAAAATAATTAAAGAAATAGAAAGAAATTTTCTTTGTCTTTTATCCCAAACCAGTAATTAACTTATAAATGTGATGAGTAATCTATGTGAGATTGGTCCACTGACTATTAATTTTATTTTTTGATCTTAGATATAAATATTATATAATTAGAAAAAAATAATTACAAAAATATTTAACAATAACAAGAGAAAAAGAAAAGTGATTAACAAAAGTCATTTACTAACGCTACGACAAACATAAACTGCAAAAGTTTGATTTCTTTTATCAGTTGACAAAGAATTTTTGTAGATAAAAATATAGTTATAATTACAAATTTAATATAGTGTGTGAGATAATATTAATAATTTGAATCATCAAAAAATAAATTATTTGTTTTAGGGATTAAAAAAGATAACTAAGTATTCGAGCTAACTTTTTCTTTCCGGATTTGAATTAACAAACTAGCAAAATAATCTGATTTTATTCCTTTTCAAATTTAGACATAGGTAAAACAAATTTTCAAGTTTACACAAATATTAGAGTACATAAATTAATTTTCATAAAAATACCATGAGTTACAAAAAAAATCAGAATATAAAATAAAATCAGTTATAGTTTTAAGAATTAAATTGGTTAAAATGCAAACTTTAAGAAATTAGGATAAAACAGTAGAAGACAAAATTTATTCATAAACATATGTCAGGTGAGACACAATTTAATATATTTGTATATCATATTATAAGATGTGTACAATTACAAAATAATATTCACCCAACTTAACTAAATTCATCATTTATGCATATTCAGAAGATCTTGAATTATGAATACAACAACTATGTTAGTGTAAGAAAAAATATTTTCATCATTTAAACAAATATTGTATTTTATTTTAATGTCAATATATTTTTTTTAATTGATAGACACTACACACACGTGCAATGCACGTATACTAAAACTAGTATTATATACTATATTAAAAGTACGAAAGACCTGAACGAAATATCGTTCACCTTTTTTACCCTTTAAAAATAGAGCTCGCACTGGATAAAATAGTCATTTGATTATTTTTCTAATATTTAGAAATAGTCATTTAATTAATTCCCTAATATTTAGGAATTTGTATAATAAATATTTTCCTTATTTGAACTATATTAAATATTATAACATTTAGAACTTTAAAATCATTAATATTTTACCTTATAAATTTGACACTTAAATTATATATAAAAAAATAAACAAATAAGAGAATAAGAACATTAAAGAAAGAGGAAGTACGTTTGGCTTTGATAATATGGAAGTGGTCGAATTTGTTTAAAACTTTTATACGTTTTAATTTATATGAAACTCTTCTATATTAGAATATTTAAGAATATATACAAAACTATCCCACTAATAATAGTATTCTATATTATATTTTTAGTTTTCAAAGCTTTTAAATTAGCAATTACAATTATTTGGAACATTGAGCAGAAATCAATAACAAACTTAAAAATTATCAATTATACTGATAAGATAATTTATGAGATCTTTTAACTTCTCTAGATAGTATTAAATTTAGCTGAAATAAACGAGTTTCTTGACTATTCTTAAAGGGCATTTCAATTGTAGACTTTATTTGTGGTATAAAGTGATTCTTACATTTTGAGATTTACAAGGAATTTTCATTTACTTTTTTGGAACATGTCGTGCATGGATGATTAAAAAGAATTATTATTGAATAAAAATATAATTACAATTAAATACTTAAAATTTGGTATGAGCTAGCTAATTAGTATTATTCAAATATTAGTCTCACTTGAATAATGATACTTTCAAATTAAATACACTTTCCATTCTAACTTAAGTCATTCTTTGAAATACGTTTTAAGTTGTATTATTTGACTGATGATTGGGCATTTCCGTAGAGCAGTTTCATTTTTTATTTAGTTAGTTATATACTACCAACATTCATTATTTTCAAGAACTTATATTTTTATTTTATAACTCAAAGATAAATTTTAAATAAATTTTCCATTGAGTTAGGTAAAAGCTTGTACACTAATACTAGTATGAAAAGAAAATCAAGGATGCACTTAACAACGTGGAAGACGTCTCTCTTTATCACTTTATTACCGAAACAAAAGAGAGTATAAAACAAAATCGCAATTTTTCTATCATTCACAGAAAAAAATATACATATAGCTTGGTCGATTAAAGGGTATAAGGAAAGCTCTGGCCCACTTGCAGTACCTGAATCGCTTTGTTATCCTTTTTCTTTTTCGGTACATTGAAAATTTGAGGTAGGTCTTCATCATTTTACATGAAAGTAAATTCATTAAGATAAAATTTACCTCGTGTTAGACAAAGAAAGTAATCAATAATTCAAATTACTTGGGTAAGATATATTCAGACCCACGCCAAATACTTTTGTATGAAGAAAGCAATAGTACAAAAAAAGAGACAGAGGAGTCGTCATTAAAGTCAAATAGTGACGTTTAGTTTAACAATTTTCCATCTAGTCAAATCTATTCATACATATATACTCTAATACATTAACCAACTATCAACAAGAACTTCATATTGCAAGTTCCGAACATAATTTTAACTACAGTTCGCCTCTTTAACATCAAAAGATGCAGCACAATGGGTTTTGGGACTGGGAGCTCTCATCCTACAGGCAAGAATCTGTAAAGGAACCATTTATGGCATAACAGAACATTGTGGAGAAAGAAGGTTCAATTCGTTGTCAACTTCATTGGTCTGATTATTGTATGAAACTGTGGTTAGCATGACCGCCGTGAAAAATGAAGAAATGAGTGTTTTGGAATGCAATCAATGACAACGGGGCAAAACTTAGACTAAGGGTCAAGTCACAAGAACCTTACAAGTATTATCATACTAACACCTAATATATATATACCCATCTCAACACTAACAACAAGCATCATACAGACAACTTACTCAGTATAAGCTTTTAGCAAGCAAATATTTCCATTGCAATGGCTAATATTCAAAATTTCAACTTCCCCTATTTCCCCCCATTCCCACCTCATAACTATCCATTTCCTCCAGTAACACCTCACCTTCCTCCACCAAGTGTGTCACCACCACACCAACCTAATACACCTCCTTCACCTCCAAAAGTGGCACCACCACATCCACCAATTACGCCATCGCCACCAAAAGTGGCACCACATCCACCAGTTACACCGTCACCACCACATCATTATCCTAGTCCACCACCTCCAGCAGCAAAGCCACCAAGTCATTCAATACCACCTCCAGCACCAATTAAGCCACCACCCCATCCCTTCCATCCTCCACCTCCACCACATGTTGTTCCAACTCCACCCCCACCTCCACCCGGACATCATTCTCATACCATCATCATTATATTCGTCTCGCTTGGTGGTCTATTCTTTCTGGCATTTCTCTCAGTTGCTCTATGCTGCTTCCTTAAGAAGAGAAAGAAGAAAACCACTCAGGAAATTGATATCATGAAAGTGGATGAACACATGAAGGTCCACGAAGACATCGTAACTCGTCCAGATGGAACAAAGGCTGTCATTCTGACAATTGATGAAGATATACATATTGATGAAGAGATCATGAAAAAGGAAAAGGTGGAGAAGGGTTCACTAGGCCAATTGGGAGGCGAAAATCTTGAGGCAACAAGCACAATGGCGTCATCATCTCGTATCGATCATCACCACCATGACCATAAAGGCTGATAAGATTTGCAAAAGACAATCTTTATTCATATTTTTCTTTGTATCAATGACATAATAATAATCATTACCGAAAGAGTGTGCAAAAAAGTTAATCAACTTGATGTTTGTTAAATAACCAAGTCATGCCTCTAATTTCTTCAAATGTTTTTTTTTATATCTGGTGAATGTTGATGTACTTCTAACCTTTGTGTATGCAACCATTCCTCCTCATGATGAACTGCTTTACAAAGAAACTTTCATAACTATAATATAATCTAATTCAGACAGCTTCACCTATGACTCTAAAGAGATTCAGCACTTAAAAGGAAAAAGAAAACAGATAAAGGAAACACACATAAATAACAAGAACAAAGAATATTCTTTTGACTGTCAGCCCTAAGCAATTGGAATAATATGCAACTCACTCGTTCCAGTTGGTGTGAAACTAATTCATTAGTCCCTTCGAAAAAGAAGACACATATCTTATTTGAAAATAATTAACTTACACTTCTACTTTTACCCCTAATTATAAGCTTTTATAACCAATTTAGAGGCATATTTAAGTCCAACAAGTTTAAAAGTTTTATAAACACACAAATTCTATGATATATTTGAGACGACAAGTATCAAAAATAGTCATTTCTTTCTTAAACTATGTCACATGGATAACTAAATAACCGATTTAGTAAAAAAGTAAAGAGGTACAAAATGTAGTAGAGCAGGGCAGGGAAGCTGATGTAAACAAGGATAGAGAAGGAATCAGCATGTATTGATTATCTTAATCATCCAGATATGTGTCCTAGAAGCTCAGCACGGCCAAACATGGCAGCACCAGGAGTACAATCCGGTCACAATATCCATCATAAGTACCTGCTATATTTCATCATTTTCCACTATATCCATTGTTTAGATTAATTAACACAAGATTAGTTCATCTTTAGTATGAGGGTAAAAGAGATTGCTCTTTTAAGCATAAGTGCAGAATCATCCCCTCATTCCGGAACAGAAGTAGAAGCAGAAAAGGAATAATAGCGTAGAGGACAGAAACAGAAATAAAACTGCAGAGTCCACCTGAATGAAGAAGAACAAGAAGAATACCGGGAGACTAAACTGGAGCGTGCAGCCTCAGCAGCCCGAGCCCCAATCAAGATTGTAACCCTAATCTGCCTATAAATTAAGGTGAACTGTCCAAATTTGACCCTCAACAAGCAGGGTAAATAGTTTGTGGGCTCTTTACGAATTTATTTTTTATTTTATTTTGAAATTTTTACCTCTTATAGTATAGCTTAACACCTTATTTATTTTAAATAAATATTATTTTAAAAAATTATATTCTATAGCTACCTTTTAATGTTTATAGCAAAACATCTATTTATGGTTAACTCCTACCCTTAAGCCACTATATACGCTAATTATTATTTTTCTCTCTCCTTTTTAAGATTTTTCTCACATAATTTACCGTATTTGATGGGAAGTTCTCTCTCCACGTTCTCCCTCTCTCTAATTTGATACACGCCATTATCTTCCCAGAAAACACGATTCTGCAACTGAAATTCCCTCTCACCCACATCGTCTAGGTCTTCCCCAATCTCAGTCACCACGCTAATTTCATACACGCCATCAGCATTGTCTCTCTCAACTCTCCGTTTTTTTTTTGCTACAAATAGTTGTGGTAAGTATTTAACTTGTTAGAATTTTGCTTGTATTTTATTTATTTTGTTTATATCTACTAATTTTTTATAAACAATAACCATTGTTATTGTGTTGGAGAGAAAACTTGAGATTTTCTCTCAAATGTCTGATTCAACATCCCACAAGAGGATTACCAGAGGTATACCCACCAAAGTACTCAATTTCGATGGGCCCTCTTTCTCTTTGCAAATCACTCAAGCGGAATTGGAATTTGCAGGTTCAGCAGCACATACAGTTACAGAGAGGAGAACTAAAATACACAATGACAAATTGAAAGAAGCCCAAGTTGAGAAATCTTCAAAAGAATCAACATTTCCCATTGCGGAAAAGAGAAAAAAACCTATGGATGATGCTTCATGTGTCAAGGGAAAGGAGATCGATGCAAGAAATAGCTCGGATACACGCGACGAAAAGGTAATTGTTGATGTATCAATATGTATTTGAGTCCTCATACATTGAGTATTATCTTCTTCAATGAATTTCTATTATTGTATGTTATTCTATTTATATGTGTGCAATAGTGGATACATAGCTTCCTCTTCTTATTTGTTGATGTGATTTATATGTATGTTGGTGTATTCATAAGTATTCAAAATTTCCTATTTATACTTATTACCTGACTTTTGCCTATTGTATTTAAATGTATTCATAAGTATTCAAAAAATCCATCACTCATTTGTACTTATTACAATGACTTTTGCATATATGTATGTAGATGTATTTATATGTATCCAAATTTTGGCTTCACTGATTTGTGCTTATTTAGTCTAGTGTCTTTTGTATTTAGATGTGTTTAGTTGAATTCAAAAGGTCACTCACTGTATTTTGTACTTATTACAGTGACCTTTGCATACTGTATGTAGATGTATTCATAAGTATTTCAAATGTGCCTTCACTGTTTTGTACTCATTGCAATGAAGAATGATTGTTGTATGTAGATGTATTTATATATATACAACTATTTCCATCACTAATTTCTTACTCCAGTGCATTTTGCATATTGTATTTAGTTGTATTTATGTGTATTTAAAATAATTAATGAGTTATGTATTCCTGTTGACATATGAAATCTTTTTGTAATTCTTGTTGTATGCAGGAAGTTAAACTTTTTGTGAAACATCAGCTTATTTCATCACCGCATATCAGTTCATATACTAACACATACATAGTATCTGACCTCAAAGAAAAGCTTACTCCTGAGCAATACAAAATATTGGGTTCTACTTGTTTTGGAAGTTTCCTTGATATGAAGCCTTGTGAGGTCCAGCATCAATTGTTCAGGTGCTTCATGGTTCGTCAGTTAGAAGGAAGTCATGACGATGTATTTTCAATATACGTCAATGGTACAACATTATCCTTATCAATCAGGGAGTTTGCGCTTGCCACTGGTCTCAATTGTGTGGGTGACCCTGAAGATTTTCGGTTCAACACAAAGGTGCCTAACCGGATTGTTGAGACATACTTTGGCGGCGCAAAGAATATCAAAAAGAAAGATTTATTGACATGCTTTGATGACAAGAATTGGGGTCATGATAACGATGGGGATGCCATCAAGATAGTTGTGTTGTATTTCATAAATACTTTCATATTTTCATCCGAGAAGAACATCACAACCATCCCAAGACTACATTCTGACTTGGTCGAGAGTGGGAGATACTCTGATTATCCATGGGGTATTGATGCATTCCAATACCTTATTAAATCTATTAGCAAGAAAATAGATTCTCATAAGAAGTACTATAGGATAGCTGGGATGCCTCTCGCAATGCAAGTATGGTTTTACGAGTGTTGTTCAAAGGTTGACCCCAAAATTGCAACGCGGGTTGATAATCGGATTCCCAGAATACTCAATTGGAGATCCACTGTCAATCAGCCAACCTATGCTTATCTGATGAACGACATGTTCACTGACCAGGGAAATATGATAATTTACTATTTGTTAAGTTCACGATATTATTTTTTTAAGAATCAATATTCTGTTAGTCAATACAGTTGCATACAACATGAATACATTAGAATACATATTGTTGAATACAGTTGCATACGACATGAATACATTAGAATACATTAGAATACAACATGAATACATTAGAATACATCTACATACAATATGCAAGTATGGTTTCATTTCACTGTCTTCCATATTACCATGAATACATTAGAATATAAAAAACAGTATACAGATAAATATTTCATTCAATGAGCATAACTTTGTAACCATACAACAAACTTCGTTCACTTTGAGTGCATTTCGATTTTCAGATTGTTTACAATGATATCCAACCAAGCGATGTAGAGTTTGATGTTATTCAGATTCCTCCAGGAGGTGTTGAGGTAGAGAACAGTCCTACTCCTACTCATTCAGACAAGTATGCAGATGATTCGGATGACTTTAGTCCTACACCACATCTTCAGCCTAAGAAGAAACATGATGCAAGTGTTGGTCCATCTTCATCACCGCCCCACAAAAAGTGCAAACAGCAGATTATAGATCCCTCAAATTCAGTAACTCAATCCAAGATTTTTCATGCTGGCATATCTGAAATCAATCAAACTGTATTGCATGATAAGAAGCCAGCAGATTCTAAAACAGATGAAGTATCTTCTTTGAGGAATGATCTAAATTCATTCAAAAAATATATGAGTTTTGTATGCTATTAAACATTACAGTTTGGAAATTAACATTCATATATTTTTCCAATACCTCTCTAATTATTTGTGTATTGATTAGGTGATGGGCGAGTTCACGTCTCTAAGAACATTGATCAATGAAAACTTTAAGAAGTTTTCTAACCAGATTAAAGCCAATCAGCCTATGGAAAGGGTATACCAGAGAAAGAAAACACAGGGAGACGTGATGATGGTATTCAAATGTGCTCACCTTTACATTTTTCCTCTGTCTGAAAATTGTTGAAAAAATATCTTTAAATAATTTTTACTCGAACTGGGTTTAAACAAGATATTTTGATTCAAATCCTGATTTTTAAAAGCATGAGGTATTTGACTGAGATTTCATGATATGAATGTTATATGCTTTATTGCTCGTCACTACTGCTCAGTCTTTATTTATTGTTGTTATTTACTGAGTTGGCGTACTCACGTTACTCCATGCACCTTGTGTGCAGATCCAGGTGTAGCTGGACATGGTAGCGGTTGTTGATTGTTCTGATTGCAGATTTTCCCGGGGATAGCAAGGTAGCTGCCTGGCGATCGCATCCCTGCTCTTCTCCCTCCTATCTTCCTCTAGTTGTATTTAGCTATTTTCCAGGCTGAATTAGCCTTAATATTGTTAGACAGATTGTAGTAGATGCTCATGACTAGTGACACCC